GTTACCAGTGACTTGTTGTACGTCACGGCGAGTGGCAGGCACAGTGCTTCTGCTCCTTCACAGCCGACGCTGTGTGTGTGTGTGTGTGTGTGTGTGTGTGTGTGTGTGTGTGTGTGTGTGTGTGTGTGTGTGTGTGTGTGTGTGTGTGTGTGTGTGTGTGTGTGTGTGTGTGTAGCGTCGTGCTTCCCACCTTAAAAATGCCACACAGTGATTGCTCATCAATTAGAACGCAACACAGGAGCACAACACAGGAGAGACCAACAAAACGAAGTAACACCGGTTGGTTAGGTTAGGTTGGGTTAGCGGCCGGCCACAGACCCAGAAGACCGGCAACCACTGTGGAACGATCTGTGGAACGATCTGCGGAACGATCTATGCTGCCAGTTGCTGGGACGATAACCACATTACCCAATAAAAAACGGCACGAAGGGTTTAAAAAATACACGTGCCAGTCCGGTTTACTCCAGAGTAACGATTAACCGGACATAACCGTGTCGTTCAGCTGAATGGCTCCGAGTACGGTCAAATGGCGCCATTGTTCGCTGGTCACGTGACCCCTGGTGCCCCCCCGGGGGGGGTGGGAGGGGGGGTCAGCTACGGCTGCTGGTCACGTGGCGTTGACCTCAAGAGGTCAGCGGTAGTTTACCTATATAATTAAACACTGATCAGTGAGCATCAAGGAATCCACAGGGAAATAGCAGTTAGGCTATATAGACTACGTCTAGGTTACAGATGCAACTGGGAGATTGGTGAACCCCGACAGAGAGAGTGCATCTTCTGCCAAACTGTCACAGAAAAGCCATTACTTCACTATCTTCTGGAATGTGAAGCAACCAATGACCTTAGAAGAGCTTTAAGAGTTCCTGAATCATGCAGTGGCCACCCTGAAGCCATCAACACAGCCACTCTCCTGGTCAACAAAGGTGTCCAGCAGCTGGACACCCTCATAAAGACTGTGAAGCAGTACCCCCCCCCCCCGCGATAACAGCTTGATGGTTAAATGCAACCTCAGAATACTGAGAAAAAAAACAAAAAACAAAAATTGTACCACTTACGGGCTATTCATGCCCGTGCCACCTCTTGGGTGGCTTAATCTTTATCAATCATCAGTGAGCATCAAGTTACAGCCCCGCTCCTGTGTCAGGTAAGTCCACTACGGGCTCACCATAGCCCGTGCTACTTGAAACGTTTTGTTCCCAGTAGCTGATTCAAGGAGCTGGGATATGAGGACAAGGAGCTGGGATATGAGGACAAGGAGCTGGGACGGGAACCAACCGCTTGGGACTAGTGTCGTTATCAACAGATAAAGAAATCAGTCCTCCTCATTGAATGAAATAAAACCATGATAAAAAGAGAGAGGTCCCAGGACCCAGGACACGCAGAGAGTTACAAACTGGACAAACGTTCGAATCCTTTTATAATCCGAACGACGTGCCAAGCTCACATTACCAAAACAGATCAGCCAGGATCTCCACAATAAACCGAACACCGTACGAAATCTACATTACAAACAGCCTCTCGTCAATTTGGTCCGTGCGGAATTTCTCGACTGCAAAATTAGGCGGGAGAGGCAGCGGCCTCTCACGGGTCTCTGATGTAATCTGATATCCGTTTATCTCTATATATATATATATATATATATTATCTCTATATATATGCAATCATGTTCGTTATCATTCCGGGAGTTGAGAAATAACAGATATATCACACTTTGTAAACTGAGTATATTAAGGTGGATTTAGGTGTATATATATATATATATGTATATATATATATATATATATATATATATATATATATATATATATATATATATATATATATATATATATATATATATCTGCTATCTGCTGCCGTGACCAATGGCACCGCTGCCAGGGCCAATGGCACCGCTGCCAGGACCAATGGCACCGCTGCCAGGACCAATGGCACCGCTGCCGTGACCAATGGCACCTCTGTAAGTACCAATGGCACCACTGCCATGCTCGTACTGGCACCTGCTCTTGAGGGACCATGGCACCTCAGGCGGGAGCAACACTCACGCTATTATTGAAGCTCACCTGCAAGATTAGGCAAGACTCGCTCCAACACTGAACCAGGTGTGTAGCTACACACCTGGCCAGTGTGTCCACACCTGCACCCACACCCCGAGGGCCACACTGTGTACTCACATCTACGCTACATTTTTACCCCCCCCCTCAATTAAAATACTGACGTGTACAATTTGCTTGTTGTGTCCGGCACCATGTTGGCTTTGTAATGATGAACGACACCCCTGATATTTTTCTGTCCGAATTTACATTATGCATGAGTCCGTTCTGGGCTGGTGATGTGTCACGAGTAATGCAGAGCATTGCAACCTTTAATTCAATTGACTTGCAATAATGCGTTTCAGGGAATTATCAAATAAATGTCAAACTCATTTGCGGTGCGAGTGAGTTTTTGTCCCCGTCACAGAGAACAACAGGGCGGGTATGAGAGGGATGTGTGGCCAGAAACGTTTGATTTAGTCAACAATATTGAGAGACTCTTGTTGTTGTTATAGATTCAGCTACTCGGAACAAGTTGCAAGTAGCACGGGCTATGGTGAGCCCGTAATTATTGAGAGAGGCAATTCACAATATGGTGGGGGAACATTTATTTGGACGCCGAAACCCCCCCCGAGAGATAAATTTCAGGATATCTGAAATTTGAGGCAGTGACGACGTTTCGCTCCGTCCTGGATCGTTATGTAACTTGATATCTTGATATCCAGGACGGACCGAAACGTCGTCACTTGGTAGTGGTCACACGACAGACCGAAATATCGTCTCTCCCTTTATTTTCTGATACGTAGGTTAGGTGTTTAGAATACCTAATGACTTGAAATATTCCTTTTGCTTTTGACAGTGTGTGGATACCCTTAAAATGGGAGTTGCACACCATCACTGACTGCCTCAGAGGGGCCTGAGGGCAGCAACATACTGAGTGCAGAACTGCAGCACTGCAACTGCAGAACAGAGTGCAGAACTGCAGAGAACAGAGTGCAGAACTGCAGAGAACAGAGTGCAGAACTGCAGAGAACAGAGTGCAGAACTGCAGAGAACTGCAACAAAATTCACTAGCTCGGAGAAATGGTGAAATTCACACTAGTTATTCAATACATCATCATCATTCTTGCATGCAGGGAGAGCTACACAGCTATGGGTCATCCAATGAGGATGAGGATCCATCCATCCTAAGGCGAGCGACGTCCACGTGACGAGCGACGTCCACAAGACGAGCGTCGTCCACAAGACGAGCGACGTCCCCCAAGACGAGCGACGTCCCCCAAGACGAGCGACGTCCCCAAGACGAGCGACGTCCCCAAGACGAGCGACGTCCACAAGACGAGCGACGTCTACAAGACGAGCGACATCCACAAGACGAGCGACGTCTCCAAGACGAGCGACGTCCCCAAGACGAGCGACGTCCCCAAGACGAGCGACGTCTACAAGACGAGCAACGTCAGCAAGACGATCGACGTCCCAAGACGAGCGACGTCCCCAAGACGAGCGACGTCCCCAAGACGAGCGACGTCCACAAAACGAGCGACGTCCCCCAAGACGAGCGACGTCTCCAAGACGAGCGACGTCCCCAAGACGAGCGACGTCTCTAAGACGAGCGACGTCCCCAAGACGAGCGACGCACCCCAAGACGAGCGACGTCTCCAAGACGAGCGACGTCAAATGCGTCACGTTTCACCAACATTAAGCTACAAGTGACGCAAGAGAAAATTGGGAAATCATGAACTCTGATCGTCCTAACACATCAGAACACACTACGAGGTCCGCGCCTCTAACAATATGCAGTTCGGGACAATCAGGAGCAGCTCTCCGTTCAATCAAATGCCTCTGAGTTAAAGCAGTCTAGGCAAAGCAGACTAATCAGAGCCGGTAGGCAGGAGGATACGCTAGGGGATAGGCCACAGTTAATGCCAAACAGCCTGTAATATAAATAAATAATATTTACACTTAACTCCTGGTTTCCTAAGCCAAAGGAAATTAAACCAACACAATTTGTATGTTGTAAATCGATCAGTTTAGTGGAGCGGAAAGTTATAGTAATGCCTGCACATATTACCTATCATTTGTAACTCACGTTTTCTATGAAATTTTCACTCTGCTTTACCCATTTTCTACAAGCTAATCACCGCACCAGATTTATATTATTAATAAAACCCTCGATAAACAAATAACCGATAAATAGAACGATTATAAATCAGCTGCCGAGCATACGTGATTATATACATAATAAAAGTGGCGAGGTTTAAAAGGTGAAAATGCAAATTGTAGTTGCACATTTGCATACCTTGACAGTCATTAATTTGTTGCACCTGTCTCGTGCTTCAAGGTGAGTTATGGGCGAGATTAATCTGAACTCTGGGATAATCAATTTGTTATAAAAATTGCTCCCGTAATCTCTGGAGAGAGAGAGAGAGAGAGAGAGAGAGAGAGAGAGAGAGAGAGAGAGAGAGAGAGTGAGTTGCCAGCCGTAACCTCCACCAGTGTGAGAGAGAGAGAGAGAGAGAGAGAGAGAGAGTGTGTGTGTGTGTGTGTGTGAGAGAGAGAGAGTTGCCAGCCGTAACCTCCACCAGTGTAAAAACACTGACCTATGACACGCCCCTACCTCACATGTCTCATGTGTGAAAACTGGATGAAGCCCCTGTTGTCTGGCCTCCAGGCTGAGAGCGACAGACAGTCGACACACACACACACACACATGTGACTCATCACAATGCAGGCAGCGTTCGTATAGAGAGCTGTCGTTAAAAATATGAAACACGCGGCCGGTGAGGGAACATTCAATGCATATTTTAACTAAACAATTGCACATGCAAGTCTAATATGGACACGGGGAACACTGCGGGCAAAAAAAAAAACTTTTCCCTCCGAGTAAAATCCGCTACAAAATTTGGCACCAGTCTGGGACACATTAGCGAGAGGTTACAGGTACAGAAAACGGATAGGAGGACATCTTACCTCTGCTGGGAAGGCCTTGTTGTCGAGGAGATGCTCGGAGCCCTGCTGGTCCCTCTCTCCGAAGTGGAGTCTGGCGTGGGTGACGGTGTAGGCGTAGCTGAGGGGGCCGCCCGTCACGTTGACGGCGTGGGCGTTCTGGGCCGCCCTCCACTCCACGCTGTGGCCCGTGTTGACCAGCTCCCCGCCCACCTGAGCTAAGGACAGATACAGTCACCGACCACAGAACACTGATCCAAGGGCACGGAGGCACTAGAGGCAACCTGGGGTGACATTATGTGATGGAACTACATGGGTGGTAGGTGGGTGGTGTTAATGTTGGTGCGTTGATGGGGACGGTTGCACGTGGGTGGTGAAGATGGTGGTAGGTGGGTGGTGAAGATGGTGGTAGGTGGGTGGTATAAATGACAAAGTTAAATAAAATATCCACTTGTATTTAGTGCCAATAAAGAGCTGATTTATCTAATAAAGATCATATTAATTCTCCCCCACATCATACAAGCAAAGAAGGTAACGGATACTGTATTGAATTCTATTTCGTCATCTATTACGAGCGAATGAATCTATTATTTTGCTAATGCTCGCCATGGCGTCATTCTCCATTGTCAGTCAATAAGTGATTATTATTATATAATACTTTTTACCCTCAACGGCTACAGCCAACAGTGTCTCGTAATTAAGTAATTTAGTAATTACAGTAAATAGGCTGGGAATTACGTGCTTATTTTAAAGTTATGTCCACATTTTATTATTTAAACAAACACCTTAATAAGTTGCTGTGTATAAATATTGGTATTTCTTGTAAACAAAGGTGTTTATTTGTTGTGAGGTGAGTGTCACTCAGAGAACTTGTGTGTTGTGCTGTGAGTGGCACTCAAGAGAGGTTGTGGGAGGCCGGCGGGCACTCACCGTGACCTTGTCGAGGGTGAAGGGCGTGAGGTTAGGGTCGAAGAGCAGCGTCTTGGGGTCGACGTTGATGGGTGACTGACGGCGACCTTCCCTACACATGCCCCAGGCCGGGTTGATGACCCCCCAGAACCTGGGCCCTGAGATGCCATCGTAGGTCCACCACTGGCTCCAGTCTATCCCTGGGGGACTGCTTGAAGACGGTCCTGTGAAGAGAGACAAGACACTTGGTTAGTACTTCCGGACCTGCCTTGGGGTACACCCTTCAAGCAGGCCTGCCTTGTAGGACCCCTTCAAGCAGGCCTGCCTTGGGGTACACCCTTCAAGCAGGCCTGCCTTGTAGGACCCCTTCAAGCAGGCCTGCCTTTTGGTACCCCTTCAAGCAGGCCTGCCTTGTGGTACCCCTTCAAGCAGGCCTGCCTTGTGGGACCCCTTCAAGCAGGCCTGCCTTGTGGGACCCCTTCAAGCAGGCCTGCCTTGTGGGACCCCTTCAACCAGGCCTGCCTTGAGGGACCCCTTCAACCAGGCCTGCCTTGAGGGACCCCTTCAAGCAGGCCTGCCTTCGGGTACCCCATCAATAATGACAACAAATGAAATTACCTCACGTGTATTTCGTCCGAAATTGGTATGAACAATTACCTTTCCATAAGAGTCATACAAAAACAGCGTTGCTGGCAATATCCGGGTCGAAGGCCGATAAATTGTCCCGTGTCCGCCTGCTCGACGCCAGAGGGGAAACAGCTGTCGATGTTTTTGTGAGAGCGAAAATTAGTGAAACATTTGGGTAATGAGATTGGGCGACAGCGTCATGCGTCACCTGGCTCTATTTGTTTCGTTCTGTTCTCCGTCGTTCTTCACACCGAGGAAGGCGGGAAGGGAATTATTAGGGGTAAGTGCCAAGCCATTACGACTATATAGCACTTGGAAGGGGTCAGGATAAGGATTTGTGATGGGACGGGTTGGAAAAGGAATGGTGCCCAACCACTTGGACGGTCGAGGATTGAACGCCGACCCGCATGAAGCGAGACCGTCGCTCTACCGTCTAGCCCAAGTGGTTGGGCTACATGCTGGGAAGGGATAGGCGTCTGGGCCTCACACTTAACCCAGACAAAGGTGGTAACACTTGACGAAGTCGTCAACGCTGGAGACAAGGTAAGACAGACTGTGAGTACTGGTGATCCACACTTACAAGTGCGCAGGGTGTCACCAACCTCTCTCAAGGTGGATCCTCTAGTACTCAAGAGGACCTCACAGTACTGTACTGTGATATACTAGAGGAGGTACTCTGTTGTGCCCGGGCCTCTAGTCCCTCTCCCCCCCTCTCTTACCCTCTCTATCCCATCTACCCCTTCTCTTTCACCCTCACCTCCTTCTCCCCCAACAGAAAATGTCATATTAAGTACTGAAATAAATACGAAACTCTACGGAAAACACATTTTCGTTTTCAGACTTTTTGGGTCGATCCAAATGTCGATATTTCTTAAAGATTGAGGTATGAGGACAGTGTGTGTGTGTGTCAGAGATGATCAGGGCCGCGGGTTCGACTCCTTGATATTTATCTCAATATAAAACCTTAATATATTTTTAAATACACTCCAAAGATACCGACGTTTATCTCATCTATTCTTAGGACTCCTTAGAACAATTCTTAGGAAGCCTTAGAACATCTCTCACGCTGCAGTGATGTAAGTCTCTTCTAAGACAGCTCACTCCGTACTATAATGTTACTGTGTCATATTGTCACTCACATATTACACAGCTGCTACGGGCTGCTGTGTAACAAAAAGGAGGCCTGGTTGAGGACCGGGCCGCGGGGGCGCTAAGCCCCGAAATCATCTCAAGATAACCTCAAGTAGATATATTACGGTGATTTTTATACGAGGTTTATATGTTGGACTGGAGACATAGTTTCTTTTGGAGGTAATTTAGGTTAAGGATTTAGGTAGAAAGATTTGTATATTAATTGTTCATTATTTTGGAACGTCATGCTAATGTCCAACCACGACAGTCAGGACATCCTGAGGGAATGCATTACATCGACTGAGAGTGAAGTCCACCTTGCCTCACAGCGTGAAGTCCACCTTGCCTCATAGCGTGAAGTCAACCTTGCCTCATAGCGTGAAGTCAACCTTGCCTCATAGCGTGAAGTCAACCTTACCTCATAGCGTGAAGTCAACCTTGCCTCATAGCGTGAAGTCAACCTTGCCTCATAGCGTGAAGTCAACCTTGCCTCATAGCGTGAAGTCCACCTTGCCTCATAGCGTGAAGTCAACCTTGCCTCATAGCGTGAAGTCAACCTTGCCTCATAGCGTGAAGGTAACCTTACCTCATAGCGTGAAGTCAACCTTGCCTCATAGCGTGAAGTCAACCTTGCCTCATAGCTTGAAGTCAACCTTACCTCATAGCGTGAAGTCAACCTTGCCTCATAGCGTGAAGTCAACCTTACCTCACAGCGTGAAGTCAACCTTACCTCATAGCGTGAAGTCAACCTTGCCTCATAGCGTGAAGTTAACCTTACCTCACAGCGTGAAGTCAACCTTGCCTCACAGCGTGAAGTCAACCTTACCTCACAGCGTGAAGTCAACCTTACCCCACAGCGTGAAGTCAACCTTACCTCACAGCGTGAAGTCAACCTTGCCTCATAGCGTGAAGTCAACCTTGCCTCACAGCGTGAAGTCAACCTTGCCTCATAGCGTGAAGTCAACCTTGCCTCATAGCGTGAAGTCAACCTTGCCTCATAGCGTGAAGTCAACCTTGCCTCACAGCGTGAAGTCAACCTTACCCCACAGCGTGAAGTCAACCTTGCCTCACAGCGTGAAGTCAACCTTACCTCATAGCGTGAAGTCAACCTTACCTCATAGCCAGATCATTCTAAACTGGAGTTCAATCCTCCACACATCATAGACTTCAATCCTCCATTAGCCCAGACAACAACATTCACAGTGGAGACCGTTGTATTATGGGACACAACCTCACACGCTCAGAGATCTGATGCTGTATTAAAATGTTTTCATATCTGTATATCTTGAATAATATTAATTTCCATGTTTAATGAACACATGTTTACCAGCGTAGGTCACGCTGTATGAACAGCTGTAGCGATGTAGTTACTGACTGTATGAACAGCTGTAGCCATGTAGTTACTGACTGTATGAACAGCTGTAGCCATGTAGTTACTGACTGTATGAACAGCTGTAGTGATGTAGTTACTGACTGTATGAACAGCTGTAGTGGTGTAGTTACTGACTGTATAAACAGCTGTAGTGATGTAGTTACTGACTGTATAAACAGCTGTAGTGATGTAGCTACTGACTGTATGAACAGCTGTAGTGATGTAGTTACTGACTGTATGAACAGCTGTAGTGATGTAGTTACTGACTGTATGAACAGCTGTAGTGATGTAGTTACTGACTGTATGAACAGCTGTAGTGATGTAGTTACTTACTGTATAAACAGCTGTAGTGATGTAGTTACTGACTGTATGAACAGCTGTAGTGATGCAGTCACTGACTGTAAAAACAGCTGTAGTGATGTAGTTACTAACTGTATAAACAGCTGTAGTGATGTAGTTACTGACTGTATAAACAGCTGTAGTGATGTAGTTACTAACTGTATAAACAGCTGTAGTGATGTAGTTACTGACTGTATAAACAGCTGTAGTGATGTAGTTACTGACTGTATGAACAGCTGTAGTGATGTAGTTACTGACTGTATAAACAGCTGTAGTGATGTAGTCACTAACTGTATAAACAGCTGTAGTGATGTAGTTACTGACTGTATAAACAGCTGTAGTGATGTAGTTACTGACTGTATGAACAGCTGTAATGATGTAGTTACTGACTGTATAAACAGCTGTAGTGATGCAGTCACTGACTGTATAAACAGCTGTAGTGATGCAGTCACTGACTGTATGAACAGCTGTAGTGATGCAGTCACTGACTGTATAAACAGCTGTAGTGATGTAGTTACTGACTGTATAAACAGCTGTAGTGATGTAGTTACTGACTGTACAAGCGCAAGAGGTTAACTTAACAGGACGAAACGGTAATCAAAATTCCCCAACAAATCACAGCCATATGCCCTCAACACCCGCCACAACACACACACACACCTGCTACACGACCCAAACACACCTGATCTACACACCTACACACACGCGCCACATGTCAGAAGAGCGAGCAAAGAATAAAGCATTCTCCGCCACCATTCTTGCCTCTGGGGGCATCCACCGCGAGGACCGGAAACTTCCCCTCCCATCTCTGCTCTATATTAAGGAAGTTTTGCGACATATTGCGTGCTGGTCTTGACGCTACGATGCTCGCGGCCGTGTTTTGGCCCTTCCTTAAGACCTCTCAACTCCCCTCCAGTTTTGGCGCCAAGGTGTGTGTGTGTGTTGAGGGTGTATCTTCTGGCAGCTGGGTGCTGGGTCCTGGGTGCTGGGTGGGGGTCCTGGGTGGGGGTCCTGGGTGATGGAGGTCCTGGGTGCTGGGTGGAGGTCCTGGGTGCTGGGTGGAGGTCCTGGGTGCTGGGTGGAGGTCCTGGGTGCCGGGTGGAGGTCCTGGGTGCTGGGTGGATGTCCTGGGTGCTGGGTGGAGGTCCTGGGTGCTGGGTGGAGGTCCTGGGTGCTGGGTGGGGGTCCTGGGTGCTGGGTGGGGGTGCTGGGTGGGGGTCCTGGGTGCCGGGTGGAGGTCCTGGGTGCTGGGTGGAGGTCCTGGGTGGAAGTCCTAAGTGCTGGGTGGAAGTCCTAAGTGCTGGGTGGAGGTCCTAAGTGCTGGATGGAAGTCCTAAGTGCTGGGTGGAGGTCCTAAGTGCTGGGTGGAGGTCCTGGGTGCTGGGTGGAGGTCCTAAGTGCTGGGTGGAGGTCCCAAATGGAGTCCCACAGGGATCAGTCTTGAGACAAAGATTGATTTAGTAATGACAATAAAATAAATTTGAACAAGAGACTTTGTGTTGTCTAGCCAAGGAAGTGAAGATCTTAAAGAATCACTAAAATAACCAAAAGACCTAATAACAGCCTTCCGTCGTGGAAATATATCAATATTCCACTTACCATCCAAAAGTGTAACAAAAGCCTTTTTTTTCTCAAATAGTTTGCAAGCGATTTCGCCCAATTCTAATCAAAACACCTTTCTTCTTATTAATTAACGCACAAAACAGCTACATTATGGATACACTGAAGATATACATATGTATACATCTGAAAAGATAGTCAGTGCGAACTGAAGCGGATCACTAACAGCCACAACTAACTGGCTGACTGACAACTTACTAACTGCCGGTAAAAGCTCCCACGCGAGGCTGCGTAGCATCAATCATTAATAAGGAGTAACGCACTAATAAGGAGTAACGCACTAATAAGGAGTAACGCACTAATAAGGAGTAACGCACTAATAAGGAATAACGCACTAATAAGAACTAACGCACTAATAAGGACTAACGAATAAGGAGTAACGCACTAATAAGGAATAACGCACTAATAAGGAATAACGCACTAATAAGGAGTAACGCACTAATAAGGAGTAACGCACTAATAAGGAGTAACGCACTAATCAGGAGTAACGCACTAATAAGGAGTAACGCACTAATAAGGAGTAACGCACTAATAAGGAGTAACGCACTAATAAGGAGTAACGCACTAATAAGGAGTAACGCACTAATAAGGAGTAACGCACTAATAAGGAGTAACGCACTAATGAGTAACGCACTAATAAGGAGTAACGCACTAATAAGGAGTAACGCACTAATAAGGAGTAACGCACTAATAAGGAATAACGCACTAATAAGGAGTAACGCAACCTTAGGAAGGCGCTAATTTCTCTCCCGCCAGCAGTAGGGGGGGGAACCCCCCCCCCCCTTGAGCGATATGGCTCGTTACCTCAGCTGTAACCACCCAATTTGCGAACCCCACCCTTTTAACACATCACTACTACTACCTCTTAGTACGAACCAAGACCGAGTCAATACAGTATGCAGCAATGAAAATAAATCGAGCAAGACAAAATAAATCCCGTGTAGGATCTCATGCCTACAGAACCACAAACAAATGAACCTCGACTTCTGCCGACCACAACAGCTAAACCACAGAAGGTTAAGAGTCCTTTTAATGGGATTTTTATGCTTCTTGGATGTTAATTCACAATGTCAAAAGGAACGAATATTCAGAATTTTTTGCTGTGTTTGCGCATCGTGGAGTTGTTAATGGTTAACTGGTGCGCAGTGTAGGGGTTAGGAAAGAGATTGTGGCCTCTGATATCAGCTAAATACCGGGGATATCAACAAGTCAGTTTTTGTCAAGGATCTAACACTAAGATTAGTGTGGCGCGGGTTCGATTCCCGCACGAGGCAGAAACAAATGGGCAAAGTTTCTTTCACCCTGAATGCCCCTGTTACCTAGCAGTAAATAGGTACCTGGGAGTTAGTCAGCTGTCACGGGCTGCTTCCTGGGGGTGGAGGCCTGGTCGAGGACCGGGCCGCGGGGACACTAAAGCCCCGAAATCATCTCAAGATAACCTCAAGAACCTCAAGAAGATACCAAGTGTGTATGTGTGTTGATAGGACCATTAGAATACTTATCAATAGTACAACACACACATACCATCATTACACACATCACCATCCTCATTGTACACACACACACACAGACACCAAGCACCAACACATTACACATCACCATCCTCACTGTACACACTATCATCACCATCGATCTGTAGACTGGCAAACCAAAAATAGATTATTATTCTTTGTGCACACAATGCTAACCCCAATAACCTGCTTGACCTGAACGACTGCCAGCCTGTGTGCCGCCAGCCACTGGGATCAAGTGACAGGTCCCAATAGTCTAATAATCCAGTCGTCCTGTAAAAATAATTTTTTTTCATTCATTTTTTTCAATTGCATTCGTTTGGATAGTGAAAAAGAGTGAACATTGCAATCCGGTTTCTATTGAAGGTGTTCACTATTGAACAGATTTGGAATATTGTTGTTTGTTTGTTTGTAAATGGTGAGATTCTACATGATTTTGTTTGCATAACACTGTTGCTTAAGAAAGCATATTATTCTGAGGTAGTGTGAAGAGTGTGTCACAGATGGCTGAGTAGTGTGAAGAGTGTGTCACAGATGGCTGAGTAGTGTGAAGAGTGTGGCACAGATGGCTGAGTAGTGTGAAGAGTGTGTCAGAGATAGTGTGAAGAGTGTGACACAGATGGCTGAGTAGTGTGAAGAGTGTGTCACAGATGGCTGAGTAGTGTGAAGAGTGTGACACAGATGGCTGAGTAGTGTGAAGAGTGTGACACAGATGGCTGAGTAGTGTGAAGAGTGTGACAGAGATGGCTGAGTAGTGTGAAGAGTGTGACACAGATGGCTGAGTAGTGTGAAGAGTGTGTCAGAGATGGCTGAGTAGTGTGAAGAGTGTGTCAGAGATGGCTGAGTAGTGTGAAGAGTGTGACAGAGATGGCTGAGTAGTGTGAAGAGTGTGACACAGATGGCTGAGTAGTGTGAAGAGTGTGACAGAGATGGCTGAGTAGTGTGAAGAGTGTGACAGAGATGGCTGAGTAGTGTGAAGAGTGTGACAGAGATGGCTGAGTAGTGTGAAGAGTGTGACAGAGATGGCTGAGTAGTGTGAAGAGTGTGACAGAGATGGCTGAGTAGTGTGAAGAGTGTGTCAGAGATGGCTGAGTAGTGTGAAGAGTGTGACACAGATGGCTGAGTAGTGTGAAGAGTGTGACACAGATGGCTGAGTAGTGTGAAGAGTGTGACACAGATGTCTGAGTAGTGTAAAGAGTGTGACACAGATGGCTGAGTAGTGTGAAGAGTGTGACACAGATGGCTGAGTAGTGTGAAGAGTGTGACACAGATGGCTGAGTAGTGTGAAGAGTGTGACACAAATGGCTGAGTAGTGTGAAGAGTGTGACACAGATGGCTGAGTAGTGTAAAGAGTGTGACACAGATGGCTGAGTAGTGTGAAGGGTGTGACACAGATGGCTGAGTAGTGTGAAGAGTGTGACACAGATGGCTGAGTAGTGTGAAGAGTGTGACACAGATGGCTGAGTAGTGTGAAGAGTGTGACACAGATGGCTGGGTAGTGTGAAGAGTGTGACACAGATGACTGAGTAAGGAGCCGTACGAGTAACGAGAGGCCCCTTACTCAGTCACCTCGAGTAACGAGACACGAGTAACGAGAGGCCCCTTACTCAGTCACCTCGAGTAACGAGACACGAGTAACGAGAGGCCCCTTACTCAGTCACCTCGAGTAACGAGAGCCACACATGAAGAGGAAGGAGTCAGCTCGCGGGAGCCGGGGACCAGGAGCTACAGAAGCGAACACTCAAGACCAGATAAAGATGCCATTTTGCAACGGCAGGCTAATATGTCTTGCAACGGCAGGCTAATATGTCTTGCAACGGCAGGCTAATATGTCTTGCAACGGCAGGCTAATATGTCTTGCAACGGCAGGCTAATATGTCTTGCAACGGCAGGCTAATATGTCTTGCAACGGCAGGCTACTATGTCTTGCAACGGCAGGCTAATATGTCTTGCAACGGCAGGCTAATATGTCTTGCAACGGCAGGCTAATATGTCTTGCAACGGCAGGCTAATATGTCTTGGGTGTACATGCCAGCATAACATTGATCACATCAATAACTTTCCTTAAGAACACACAGAAATCACAATTGCGTGAAGCATCAAATGAACAAATCCGCAAGAGCCGTGACGAGGATTCGAACCTGGGTCACGGCCCTTGTGGATCTGTTTCCTTGAGAAGTTAACCAATAATCACCAAGGAGTCTAATCTTCACCAATCACCTCCACACATCGTTACACATTCTCTCAATATACAAACCCATATTGAACGGACCACTTGGGCTGGACGGTAGAGCGACGGTCTCGCTTCATGCAGGTCGGCGTTCAATCCCCCGACCGTCCAAAGGGCTGGACACCATTTCATCCCCTCCGTCCCATCCCAAATCCTTATCCTGATCCCTTCCAAGTGCTATATAGTCATAATAGCTTGGCGCTTTCCCCCCATAACTCCCTCCACCCCCTTTGACATGCGTTGGTTTTTAATAGTTTCCACTCCTTACTAAATCCTTCGGTCACTAAAGTCTTTTAAAGTATTTTGTAGAGCTGAAGTAATGGAGAAGTGAAACACATTTTTGGTGTGAAGTAATTGTCCAAGTTTTGGTTAACACAGTCGGGAACACATTAGATATGCCACTGATTAAGTATGTCACGATTTTTGGGTCGAAATTAATGCATTCGAAATGGGGTCAGAAATTCTGACTAAATTGAC